TTTTTTTTTTTTTTGTTTTGTTTTGTTTTTTTTTTTTTGTTGTTGTTTTGTTTTTTTTAAACATATAATTAATGTACTCTATTGAATTATTCGTATGTGATTTACAATGCCGCAATACATTTCCGATGCTCTCCCCTCCTCTTTGAATCTGTCTATCATTTGGGACCACGACTGGCACCACCATCCAAACCTTGCACATCCTAAATGTCACTGGCTGTTAATAGGACGTAAAGCAAAGAAACGAAATAAACATTCATTACCAAGCCAAATCGATTCAGCAATATGAATATATATTTAAGTCATTCACTCTTTGTCTCATTATAATAGGTGTATCACACCTATTGTAGACTTGTCTATTAGAAATGTAGTAATATACCACGTGCGTCATATCCACATTGGTAATTCTGTTATGATCTATCTACATGTCCTTATATAGTGTGTGGGTTGTCTATTGGACAAGTCACAAAAGTAATATGCCAGAACGTCGTTACTTCGTATCTATGTGTTAATTAATATGGATATTGTAGATTGAGGGGTTATTTAAGGGCTAAACCCGTTCATCCTTAATCTACACACTGCCATTTGACCAGTGTGTCTAATTATTACTTTGTCACAGGAACAAGGCTTTGAAATGGAATTGTCTTTGTAGATCGATGGACAGTAGTTTAAAACAATCAGGGACGTGGTATCCATTTCAAGTCTTCACAATTAAATTTAAATTTCATATCAATTTTACAGGTGCACGTGGCAAATCAACTGGGTTTTAATCATCTAATCAAAAGCGTTATGCAGTGCATTGTCCATTATCTTGTTTTCTAATATCACAAAATTGTCGCTGGGGGCCACTGCCACGCTGTAAATCGAATTTCAACAAGATTAACACAAAATGCATTTCACATGAAAATAGAGCTTGTCCAGTTACACATCCATTGCTAGTAAAATACCAAGGAAAATGATTCCTGTACACCACTGGTGATGTCACAACGTCTTTAGAGCCGGACATGTCATATATATGGTGTTTGCAGTTAGATATTGAGTCATTGAACGAGCTGGCACGATCTACAACCATGCATTTCTCAAAATTAGATTTCGAACAAATGATGAAAAATTATATTTTTGGTTGTCAATTAGACTAGCTCCTGTCTCTTGAATATTAAATTCATCAATGAAATTGAGCTCTGCACTTTTGGTCACTCATGTGTCAGATTCTTGAAATTTCTTGAAAATTCATATCTAACGAATACTGGTCATACTGTCATATTAGTGGCCACCTCATATCTAATCAATACTGGTCATATTAGTGGCCACCTCATATCTAATCAATACTGGTCATATTAGTGGCCACCTCATATCTAATCAATACTGGTCATACTGTCATATTAGTGGCCACCTCATATCTAATCAATACTGGTCATACTGTCATATTAGTGGCCACCTCATATCTAATCAATACTGGTCATATTAGTGGCCACCTCATATCTAATCAATACTGGTCATATTAAAAAGAGTCTGCCACCTCAAATCTCTTCAATACTGGTCATATTAGTGGCCACCTCATATCTAATCAATACTGGTCATATTGTCATATTAGTGGCCACCTCATATCTAATCAATACTGGTCATACCGTCATATTAGTGGCCACCTCATATCTAATCAATACCGTCATATTAGTGGCCACCTCATATCTAATCAATACTGGTCATATTGTCATATTAGTGGCCAACTCATATCTAATCAATACTGGTCATACCGTCATATTAGTGGCCACCTCATATCTAATCAATACTGGTCATATTCAGTGGCCACCTCATACTGGTCATATCCACCTCATATCAATACTGGTCATATTAGTGGCCATATTAGTGGCCACCTCATATCTAATCAATACTGGTCATACTGTCATATTAGTGGCCACCTCATATCTAATCAATACTGGTCATATTAGTGGCCACCTCATATCTAATCAATACTGGTCATATTAGTAATCAATACTGGTCATATTCATATCTAATCAATACTGTGGCCACCTCATATCTAATCAATACTGGTCATATTAGTGGCCACCTCATATCTAATCAATACTGGTCATACTGTCATATTAGTGGCCACCTCATATCTAATCAATACTGGTCATACTGTCATATTAGTGGCCACCTCATATCTAATCAATACTGGTCATATTAGTCATATATCTAATCAATACTGGGCCACCTCATATCTAATCAATACTGGTCATACTGTCATATTAGTGGCCACCTCATATCTAATCAATACTGGTCATATTGTCATATTAGTGGCCACCTCATATCTAATCAATACTGGTCATACTGTCATATTAGTGGCCACCTCATATCTAATCAATACTGGTCATATTAGTGGCCACCTCATAGTACTGGCCACCTCATATCTAATCAATACTGGTCATATTAGTGGCCACCTCATATCTAATCAATACTGGTCATATTAGTGGCCACCTCATATCTAATCAATACTGGCCACCTCATATTAGTGGCCACCTCATATCTAATCAATACTGGTCATATTAGTGGCCACCTCATATCTAATCAATACTGGTCATATTAGTGGCCACCTCATATCTAATCAATACTGGTCATATTAGTGGCCACCTCATATCTAATCAATACTGTCATATTAGTGGCCACCTCATATCTAATCAATACTGGTCATATTAGTGGCCACCTCATATCTAATCAATACTGGTCATATTAGTGGCCACCTCATATCTAATCAATACTGGTCATATTAGTGGCCACCTCATATCTAATCAATACTGGTCATATTATATTAGTGGCCACCTCATATCTAATCAATACTGGTCATATTCATATTAGTGGCCACCTCATATCTAATCAATACTGGTCATATTAGTGGCCACCTCATATCTAATCAATACTGGTCATATTAGTGGCCACCTCATATCTAATCAATACTGGTCATATTAGTGGCCACCTCATATCTAATCAATACTGGTCATATTAGTGGCCACCTCATATCTAATCAATACTGGTCATATTAGTGGCCACCTCATATCTAATCAATACTGGTCATATTAGTGGCCACCTCATATCTAATCAATACTGGTCATATTAGTGGCCACCTCATATCTAATCAATACTGGTCATATTAGTGGCCACCTCATATCTAATCAATACTGGTCATACTGTCATATTAGTGGCCACCTCATATCTAATCAACACTGGTCATATTAGTGGCCACCTCATATCTAATCAATACTGGTCATATTAGTGGCCACCTCATATCTAATCAATACTGGTCAATACTGGTCATATTAGTGGCCACCTCATATCTAATCTACATATCTAATCAATACTGGTCATATTAGTGGCCACCTCATATCTAATCAATACTGGTCATATTAGTGGCCACCTCATATCTAATCAATACTGGTCATATTAGTGGCCACCTCATATCTAATCAATACTGGTCATACTGGTCATATTAGTGGCCACCTCATATCTAATCAATACTGGTCATATTAGTGGCCACCTCATATCTAATCAATACTGGTCATATTAGTGGCCACCTCATATCTAATCAATACTGGTCATATTAGTGGCCACCTCATATCTAATCAATACTGGTCATATTCTTGGCCCACCTCATATCTAACAATACAATACTGGTCATATTAGTGGCCACCTCATATCTAATCAATACTGGTCATATTAGTGGCCACCTCATATCTAATCAATACTGGTCATATTAGTGGCCACCTCATATACTAGTGGCCACCTAATCAATACTGGTCATATTAGTGGCCACCTCATATCTAATACTGGTCATACTCATATCTAATCAATACTGGTCACTGGTCATACTGGTCAGTGGCCACCTCATATCTAATCAATACTGGTCATATTAGTGGCCACCTCATATCTAATCAATACTGGTCATATTAGTGGCCACCTCATATCTAATCAATACTGGTCATATTAGTGGCCACCTCATATCTAATCAATACTGGTCATATTAGTGGCCACCTCATATCTAATCAATACTGGTCATATTAGTGGCTGGTCATATTAGTGGCCACCTCATATCTAATCAATACTGGTCATATTAGTGGCCACCTCATATCTAATCAATACTGGTCATATTAGTGGCCACCTCATATCTAGTACTGGCCACCTCATATCTAATCAATACTGGTCATATTCATATTAGTGGCCACCTCATATCTAATCAATACTGGTCATATTAGTGGCCACCTCATATCTAATCAATACTGGTCATATTAGTGGCCACCTCATATCTAATCAATACTGGTCATACCGTCATATTAGTGGCCACCTCATATCTAATCAATACTGGTCATATTAGTGGCCACCTCATATCTAATCAATACTGGTCATATTAGTGGCCACCTCATATCTAATCAATACTGGTCATATTAGTGGCCACCTCATATCTAATCAATACTGGTCATCTAATCAATACTGGTCATATTAGTCCATATATCTAATCAATACTGTGGCCACCTCATATCTAATCAATACTGGTCATACTGTCATATTAGTGGCCACCTCATATCTAATCAATACTGGTCATATTAGTGGCCACCTCATATCTAATCAATACTGGTCATATTAGTGGCCACCTCATATCTAATCAATACTGGTCATGTTAGTGGCCACCTCATATCTAATCAATACTGGTCATATTAGTGGCCACCTCATATCTAATCAATACTGGTCATACTGTCATATTAGTGGCCACCTCATATCTAATCAATACTGGTCATATTAGTGGCCACCTCATATCTAATCAATACTGGTCATACTGTCATATTAGTGGCCACCTCATATCTAATCAATACTGGTCATATTAGTGGCCACCTCATATCTAATCAATACTGGTCATATTAGTGGCCACCTCATATCTAATCAATACTGGTCATATTGTCATATTTATTGACTAATGAGTAAATTACAATATCAACAACAAAAACAAATTCACCTAATTTGATTATATTTATTTTATCATAAAGTTTCTCTCACCATGTTACAAAAAGGTTAAATAAAACAAAGAGTTGTTTCATCATTCAATGTAGCTGTATATGGACAGCATCTCTCTCACCCATTCATCTGTCAAATATATCACTCTACGTAGCTGTATAAATGGACAGCGTTCCTCTGATCTATTAATCTGTCAAACTAACCACTTCATGTAGCTGTATAAATGGACAGCGTCTCTCTAATCTATTCATCTGTTAAACTAACCACTTCATGTAGCTGTATAAATGGACAGCGTCTCACTAATCCATTCATCTGTTAAACTAACCACTTCATGTAGCTGTATAAATTGACAACTTCACAATATTCCGCTATGCCAACAGCCTTTGATAAAGCACACATGTTCGTTCATCATCACTTTCCAATATAGTAACTATGTTAATATATACATTAACACACTATTGACAAATTTCAGAAGACAAATATTTCTTGAGAATTCAAAAAAGTGCAATCTTTCATTGAGATAAAACTTTTTATGTATCTAATGTTCAAATATAATATCTATTTCCAAAGTAAAAAATTCTGTTTTGGAATTAAATGGCCAGGAAATTATTCTATGTAAAGATTGCTGTCAAGAAAAAAAAATGTAATTCCTTGCTAGCTTGAGGAATTGAGATTTAGTCAAGATACAATTCTATAAACATGAATTCCAAAGTGTATGATCTTGATGACAGTGTTTTCCTTATGGTTAAGAAAGACTCTAACCAATGTCTATCATCTATTCCAACTCTTTTCCGAATCTTTTAAATTAAAAAACATGTACTGTACATTTAAGACTGGGAAGTAATGGAGACATTTTTGTGGACTGGTAGTGAAGATCTGGGTAATAGACATACCTCTTATCAAATAAAAATGATGCCCAAAAATCACATAAAGGTTCAAAGAAAAGCTACTCATGAATAGAAGATATTTAATACGGATAATCAACAAGAAATCAATTTATCAAAATACAAAAGAGAAAATTCACAACCCATACTACATGTATGTCGCCAATTTCTCTAAATCATTCACACACCATATAGCACTTCATATAAACATCTTACATTCATTTAAACTCCATATACACAAATAAACAATTTTCTCATAACATTTATCTGTGCTCTTCTCTTACACACATTTTAAACTATTACCAGTGTAACAGACCATTATGTCTTGTCTCAGACTTATACATAAATTAAGATCTCTGATTCCTTTCAGAGAAGAGGTCAATGCTGGGTTCAAAACATAATCACTTCAATTCTGGACCATCATATTTGGGGCTTTCCTTGCATGTATTATGCTTTCAAAGCCATCAAATTATTTTTGGTGAATATATTTAATATTGACGTGGTGTTAAATGTACTACAAAAGCCCTTAAATGGTCAGTTTCATGCTCATGGCTTTTCTCACCTAACACTAGTGTAGCCACTTAAGTCATCAAATGATCCCACGCTCTCACAGAAAGATGACCTGGAGCGCATAAGGATTTCCTGGTTGTATCAGTTGGTAAAACTGGCTATCCTTTCATATAACCAACTGGAACTACCATTTCATCAGGGTATTTCTGAGTCTGGGATTCCTTATACAAACAAGAGTTAAGAGTCTGACTTTTCTGACTAATTGCGAATAATTTATATTAGGTCACTGTGTTGCCTTCGCCTTTCCCTTGGCTGCAGACTTTTTGTCTTTTTTCTTCAGTCCATCCATATTTCCCTTTAGTACATTGGTATAAGCCTGCAGCAACAGAAAAGTATATAATTATATTTTGGGGAAAAAATTATACAAAAGATGCACAGAATTACTCATATTTGTCAAAATTCTACTACCAGGTAAAGCAGAGAGTAAACAGGGCATAATCCTATCTGAAAATGCAACCAACAAGAAAAGATATGAATTCTTTAGTTTTGATAACATATACATGTACTATGGTATTCTATCTAAGGGGAGGTAATCATGATAAAATTGGATGACCAGTACCTACATATATGTTTTAAATATTTCTGGTAGCTTTCAATAGTAATTAAGGATTTATCCAAAAGTTATGGTACATATATGAGATGTAATTGATCATCAATGTGTCTTTTTATAGGTTACTATGTATCATTGATGTTTCAGTTTTTATTTAGTATCTAACTCAACACTAACATAAAAGTGTGTGCTTTGATAAAAATGTTTTTTTCAGTTTCTGTCATGCATGTGCCATACCATGTCGATATAATAGAATCTATTTGATTTTAAATGAAAAACAATTCAAAGAATGAAAATATCTTTACCATATGGAATTTGTTTACGTCTTTTGGATTTACCTGGAAGAGAAAACAAAGAGTTCATATAGAAATCTATCATAGCAAACCATGAAAAAGCAAATCAAGATGTAATTGATGACACCTTCAGATGTGGATTAAGTGAATTAACATAGTTGTTTCCCCTGATAATGACAAATCAATTATATATATATGTTTTGATTTCTACTTAATACCACCATGGTTTATATAACACAAATCAGGATTTCACTCAAGGATTCTGGCAGTCAATAACAAGACTACCTAAGTTATTTCCCCTTGCATTTTGTCCTTGTGAAAAAAAATTGTTGCTAGATAAGTTTTCTCTTCTAATTTAAGGATTACTCTGCAGATTTTAGGACAATATATAATGGTTAAGTAAAACACCATTGTTTGAACATAATGAAAGCTACTAATGTAAATATTACAATATCAATGTTATATGTTCAATATTACAATATTGATACTAGACAGTAAATATTACAATATGAATTAAATAAAGGTTATATGTTAAGCACAGATAAACTGCCTACCACTGTTGTGATTTTCTTGTTTCCTAAGTTTGCCCGGATCAGACATTTATATTCGCTGGGTTCAGGGAGCTTCCCTTTTCTGGGCTCTGGTTTAGTTCTGCCATCATCTGCAAAACACAATATAATATGATTTTGATACATCATATGCTATATATGAAACCTTGTAATCAGAATATGTTGTATGCTTTGTGTGAAACCATGGAATAAAAATATGTTTGTATGCTATATGTGAAACCATGTAATCAAAATAATTTGTTTCATACAGCTGAAAGAGGTACAAATACATAACTGTATAATATTGTGTATCATAAAATCACAGAATTCCATTTCAAGTTTAATTTCGTTGAAATACATGTTGTAACACCCAGTCATAAATAACTTAAGACTTCTTGTAAAATTCTGACTGGTGTCTCGAATTTCAGTATACCGGACAGTCATTGTCGTGTCCCTCGTGAAGCCACTTGTAAATCACTTTATTTCTTAAATCTTTAAACAGTCGTGTAAATTCTAGCATACTTTTAAATAACACTTACATCTTTTCATCGTCAGCATAACCGACCCAGATGAACGGCCTTTCTGAAATAAACGTGTGAGTTCGCTGAGAAACTGAAATGAGAAGAAAGAAGATATAAATAAACGACACAAAAAAGTTCGTACGAAAAGGTGAACATAACAACTCGAATCAGAACTCCTCTGACGTTTTCTATGTAACATACCGCATCATTTTCAAGAAGCACCATGTTGCCTTCCACGTAAAAATCAGCCGGAAGTGCTTACCAACCCGAGCGTCCTGCCAGCGGCAAGCGTTCCAGATCGGAAATGTCAGAATTACAAGAATAATTACAAATAAAACTTAACAAGTCATAATTTATGTTTTTTAAAAGAAGAATTATACATAAAGAAATACAAATACTTTTATTACCTTCTTATGTTGTATTAATTGTTGCAATCCACCATTCAAATTCAATGAATAAATCAAATATTCGTCCTTCTAAAATATTACTGTATATCTTTAGTTCCTTTCATGCATATTAATCTTACAAATTCACAACATTTCAAGAAATTAAGAAAAAGTAACGGGACTTTAAAAGCATAATAACAAGACAGGCATTCGGTAATATTTACATATTTATTTGTATACTTCCGGTATTGTAGAGTGCGAAACGCTTTTGGTTTATATTGCCAATGGTTTGACGACTGATGGATGGGAAATAACTCTCCATTTCCTGTTAGAATTCGAAGCAAGAGAGTGTGGTGCAAGCGCGACACGATGTTCTATCACGTAAGTTCGCTGTTGTGTTTAAGAAAGTCAGAGTCATTATCAATCAAGGTCTAGCATCGGTAAAATAAGAAGAAATAAAGGATGTTTTTGTTATTAACAATTTCGGAATATATCACGATCCATGTTAAAAATCATAATTCCCAAACAATAGCCGGTGTCAGTGTTTGAAGACAGGGGATAGCTGTTTCTGCTAACATCTCCGAATTGTTGCTTATGTTTGTAATATTTATACAGCGCACAACGATAAACACGTTGAATCATTCTATTGTGGATATTCTATTAACATTTTTATTAAAGAAAAATGTGAGTTAAATTTTTATGTGATAAACTATAGCTAATTACTATGACTTGTATAGTTACAGTAAGAACGAGATTTTGTATTCTAAATCTTCAAAAATCTTATCTTGTGCTTCCTGTTTCATCTAATCATTGCCATTGAGTCCAAAGAGTTCTGACCATTATTGATTTTATTTAATTTTACATAGAAAAGAATACATGGTCAGTGTCATAATATATAAGCTGTATTTTGGCGATAGTGAAGAAAGACAAAAGTGGCGAGCATTTTTTTGTCATTTGTCCCCAGCTAAGATGCGTCTTATATATTTTAAGTCACTGACCATGTATTCTATTTATCCTGCAATATTGATTGAAAATAAAACCATCAAAACTTCAATAGTTTTGTTGTTTAATCTTTGTTTACATGACGTTATGCCAAATTTTCCTGATGGCTTACGTCAGTAGCGCCAAACTTAAATATGACAGCAATTTTTCTTATTTTTGGTAAATAAACTTGTTCATTACAACTTAAAATCGCTTATTCAACAGTTGTTATATGGTTAAGCATAATATTTAAGTAAGCTCAGAAAGTAATTCTATCATAACGTGCTAGAAAGAATACAGCTGTTTTCTGTCACTGCTGAATACAGCAAAAATATATGAGGCAGGTGTATTCCAACCATGGCAGCATCAATTGCAGAATAATATGTTTCTTTGATGTGATATTAATGTTGTTATTATTGCCATTTCAGATATTGTACTCAAATGATTAAATGTTTTAGATTATTTTATAAAGGATGTTCAATAAAAAGCAGCAAAAATGTGAAAACTTTAATGGAAATATATTTTTTTTTGAAAATCATCCATGTTTGCCATACATATAAACTTCAATAATTATAACACACCTACATTGTACATGATATAATATTCACAAGATTTTCTTCATTCAGGTGTCTCTAGAGCATGAAATTCTGCTCCACCCGAGGTACTTTGGTCCAAATCTACTCAATATCGTCAAACAGAAGTTGTTCACAGAGGTAGAGGGAACCTGTACAGGAAAGTAAGTTACCTGAAATCTGTTGTTAAAATGTAAAATATTAAGGTCGAAATGAATTTTGGATACAACTTTAGATTCAACATTTGTTGAAATTTCTACTTACTGTATTGTAATCTTGACCCTTCCATTTCAGCTCGTTCAAATAATCTGGTATACAAATGACATTTTTATTGTTAAGAAAAGATAACATTTTTTGGAAAAAAGTTACACATAGCATTAATGTAGTGGTGTTCAGAGATGAAAAATTTCCGCCGATCGGCGGATTTTCGCCTTTTTCATGACAAATTTGGTCATTTTTGAGATCGATGCAAATCCGGTGAGAAAATTTCAGGGGTGGGGGTTAGGTATGTCTTGATGATGCATTTTATTTTTAAGCAATCTTCATCAACTCCGTTCTTAAATCCTTCAATTTATATGCCCTTATAAACTGTAAAATTAAACATCGAGCAATTACGTGCACAGAGTTTCCGGTATTGTCAAATCGATAATACGAAGGAAGATAACTCTTACATCAGTCGAACGTTTGAAAGCTATAGTTGAATTACAACAGAGATGAAAAATTTCCGCCGATTGGCGGATTTCCGCCTTTTCCAATGCCAGCCACTTTCATCTCTGGGTATTTGTCAATTGTTATAAACATTTTCTAGATACATGTAGATACATATATGATTCAGAATAAAGGGTATCTTACTATATAGAGAGGTTTATATCTTGATGATGGACATTTTTTAAGGGCCAAGTCATCACAGGTTGCCTTTTAGTTTATAGATAGTGATTGCTATCTGTAAGTTGATAGTTTGATTCCCTGTATAAGTATTTTCATTACTTCTTTCCATGATTACATAACATGCTAGATTTATCTGAAGTACATGAAATTATAATAGACCTTTGTATTTTGTATTTGTGGAACCATGTTCTCAAAAAGAACAGTCAAAATACTGGCATGTTAATGGAATCATATGATTAAAACACAAATACTGTTTCTCTTATGATAGGTATGGCTTTGTAATAGCAGTGACCACCATTGATAACATTGGTGCAGGTCTTATTCAGCCAAGTCGTGGCTTTGTTGTTTATCCCGTGAAATACAAAGCCATCGTGTTCAGACCTTTCAAAGGGGAAGTATTGGATGCAGTCGTCACTCAGGTCAATAAGGTATGTATAGAAGGACGACAAGTGATTCACCATATATCATTGAATCAGGAACATCTACATCGCCAACTTAAAACAAAAAATCTTTTCTGTAGTTAATGTGTAATAGTATGCTTGTCCTAAGGCTATTTGACAGCCAGAGACTGGCGAAATGACAACTGACAGCCTTTATGCCTCTGCAATTTTATAGTGTTACCCATGTTAGTCAATCCTGCCTGTCATCCTTTCTGTTCCTTCCCATCCCATCCTACCCCCTTTTGCATCCTGTCCTGAATTGATAATCCCGCCCATTAATCTGTGCTGTCCCATCTCATCAAGTCCTTGCCCCATTCTGTCAAGTCCTGAATCAATGTCATATATTGGGAACCTCTCAACAGATTTGCTTTAGTTTTACACCATAGTATCATAAGACCTACACCTGATGCCTCAACAGATTCTGGTTTTCCTGTTGGGAGTAGGAGGAGGGAGGCTTCTATTTGTATTATAGAAGCTATATATCATCCTATAAAAACATGCATAAAATGTTTCTAATCATTTGAATCAGGAATTATTGGGATAAACCTATAAGTGATTGCAAAAAAGTAAACTAAAGAAGAAAATTATTCAAATAAATGTATAGAGTTGACATGATTCAGATTATCTCCCTTGTTTTTACATCCATACTGTTGATTACATGTTTATGTCTGTGCATATTTACTGTCAGAGACATCTTAATCCATGTAATTATAAACTATAACACATTTAATAATTGTGGTCATAAGTTTTTAAGCACCATGATACAAGAATTGGTAGTGAAGTTTGTTTCATTGTTTACATATCAGCCCAGTGTTTATATTTATATATATATAAAGAGTTGTTTCTAAATGTTTCGTCAGGTGGGATTGTTTACAGAGATCGGGCCATTGTCCTGCTTCATCTCTCGGCATGTAAGTATTTTTTAGTTATAGCTTATCTACCTAGGAATATAGGTGTAGATGGACTGGATATGTAGCAAGAAAATTCAATCCAGAATCTTTTGATAAATGATGAATGCACTGGTATGCAGTATACATTCAGCTGTTTAATAGATTTTTTTTGTGTAAATGTTATATAAACACCTAGCAATCTGAGCCTGAATTTTGTTTTGTGTGATTTAAGCAGATTCATAAAATGTTCTATTTCTGAGACATACAGCAGCTTTTCTTCCTCCTGATCAACCAGTGTTTTATTATAACATTTTGTTTCCACATTTGTCTTGTGTTTTATTTTCAGTCTATTCCAGCAGACATGGAATTTGACCCAAATTCCAATCCACCCTGTTATAAGACTAAGGATGAGGTATGTAATGATCAAAAGTTGAAAACATATACATGTTTATTAATCATTTTTAGTATTAATTACCCCCAATGTAAATTCCAAATAAAATCTTTAAATTGGTGTCATAGCTCATTTGCTTCTTTGTGATTCCAGAACCATTTATAAATCAGATGCAAATTTCATAAACATATATCTAAGATGAGGTGCACAAGCTATTTCACCTTTCATTCCATAATGCTGTAAAGTCTTGCTTGCAAATCGTCATTTAGTTTTATACAAAGTAATTTATCTTGTTCACATTTGTCTATGTTTTGCTGAGTCAGAAGTTTATGGCAGAATTGATGTTGATGATGATGTTTTCAGGATGTAGTCATACAACAAGATGATGAGATCAGAATTAAGATTGTTGGTACACGGGTGGATGCCAAAGACATTGTGAGTAATACAGGATATTTTTACGGTTTTTATTTTATAATTATGATATGTGTGTGTGACAATGAGTGTATTTTTTATCAGGAAAATAGAGGTATATGTGTATTGTGAAAATGTGGACATTTGTGTATTGTGAAACAACAAATGCAATTGTGTATTGTGAAATGAGTGTATTTGTGTATTGTAAAAACAAGTATGATTGTGTACCATGGAAATAGGAGCATATGTATATTGTGAAAATGTGGGCATTTATATATTGCAAAAACAAGTACATTTCTGAATTATGGAAGCGAGAGCATTTTCAAAACATTAAAGTGTTATCAGATTTATTCTGTGAAGTGTCAGTTAGGTGTAAATTTTTAGGCAAAAAGAACATTTATCTCTAGAATATTGCAACCATCATTATGATGGCAAGAAGAGACAGCTGGAATATGATTAAAAAACAAAGGGGAGACAACTGATAATATAATTGATTTAAGGCATGAGCATTTCTTATTTTGGTTAAAATGAAGTGATATCTTTGCTAAACTTTAATTATTTCATGATAGTTCTTGAAAATACTCTGCTATTCAAATTTGTATATGTAACTTCACCATCTCTCCAAAGAAAATCCATTGATTTGAACAAAAAAAGATAAAAAAAAGAGAGAATAATTGATGCCTGTTGATTACTTTTTGCAAGGAAATGTTTTCCTTAAATAAGTCAGTATTTAAGCACTTTTCCAAACAGCTTTAACTATGACATTGTCTTTTATGTAAAGAGTCACTACCTAAATATGAGTTACCTCCCTTTGTCCACATTATTCTTTAAGTCCTGTTGAATTTTCTGCTTACAGTTTGCAATAGGGACGTTGATGGATGATTATTTGGGTGAGTAAACTTATTTCTTGTTATGTTTTGCTGGTGAATACATAATACTTATACAGATTTATCTGGTAATAAATCCATGCCTGGTAACAAGCCCACTGGTGTATCTGGAATGCACTGAAGTAAAATTATAAGACCAATACAATTTCATTGCCCAGTAATGAATACAACCCTTGATTTTTAGTATGAAGCAATAAGTTTGCCTCATGGGATTAAGTACAGAAATCTAAGATTCAAAACAAGTGCATTAAGTCATGCATTATTGACCTAACATTAGATTCTGGACAATAAAATTTTGTACACATTAACTGGTTCAGATGATTTGGAGTAACTACAGCTGTCCATGTGAACATACAGGGTTCTCTTTTACTAATGGTTACATGACATTGATATTGTCAACGGAAATCCTATATTGGATCTGATGGAATGAAAGGGCATAGGTCAAGGCCGCTGGAACACAGTCTATTAGAATACATTCATGCCATTGTATGTACATATTGTTTAATATTTTACTTACCTTAAACAGGACAGAAAAAAATATATAAGGTGGAAAAAAATGGCAGTATCTGTACTGTAACTTTACCTGGTACAATATAGTATTTCAAAATTGAGATAGAAGAACCAGTTCCTATCTCAGTTTGTTTTTCCTAATTTCATATTAAATATTTCCAGTATATGACCCAGGTGACAAGGGTCATTGATTTTACTGAGTTTAAGGTTCCTAGACCCAGAAGTCTGAATCTCTGTGGGATACATTTCATAATAAATTCCTTACCGTTAATATTACATATTTTTTTTACAGTTCCTAGTGCTTCAATAAAATCTTCAATGATACTTGAACTATAACATGTACAGAGTCAAGAATTTGATCAATTTCTGGTTCAGTAATTTGATCAATTTCTGGTTCAAGAATTTGATCAATTTCTGGTTCAGTAATTTGATCAATTTCTGGTTCAAGAATTTGATCAATTTCTGGTTCAAGAATTTGATCAATTTCTGGTTCAAGAATTTGATCAATTTCTGGTTCAAGAATTTGATCAATTTCTGGTTCAAGAATTTGATCAATTTCTGGTTCAAGAATTTGATCAGTTTCTGGTTCAAAGTTTGGTCAGATGCTTTCAAATATACTCCAATCTTACGTCTCATGTAGCTGTATAATGCAGATTTCAGAGTCGTATGTTTTGGTACATCAAATGAATTTTGGAACCATCATGATTATGCATGTTGTAGCTTTGAATTGTTAATGTTTTTATGAAAAGTTTAAAAAAATGTGAAGAATGATCATTAAGTCTGATTGCCTGATTTTTTTCACTTCAACCTGATATTCAACCTCAGAGGTTAATTCTGCATATGGCTGAAGTAATTTGTTTATTGTTTGGAATATATTTTCAAATTTTACTGAATATTGTTTGGATATGAGATGAGTAAATATGTAATTTTCATTTTAAATGCCTAATAGAGTTATCCCCCCTAATATGAAATAGATTCAGTCTCATACTTCATCTTATATTTAAGTGAATTCCTCTCCTTTTTGACTAATTCACTTATTTAACAAATGTATTAGCCAAAATTGACATTGTACAGTATTTTTTGTCCTCATTTGCCTAATTCATTTATCAGTCAAAGTTGACATAATACAGTGGTTCGTTATGACTACCATGATAAAATGTAAATTTGCACTGGTAACAATAAGTATTATTTAAAAGATTGTACCTTCCATTTTCATGCCTCCGTATTGAAAGATCGGGGCGTATTGTTCTTGTGCTGTCTGTTTGTCTGTTGTCAACTTTAACCTTGCCCATAACTATTGCACTATAAGAGGTAGGGCCTTCATATTTGGCATGAGTATTCCTTGTGACAAGACCTTTCTGTGGGTACTAACATTTTTTACCACGTGACCTTGGTCATGACCTTTGACCTACATTTGAAAAGTTATTCATTGGCTATAACTATTGCATCATAAGAGGTATGGGTTCCATATTTGGCATGTCTGTACCTTGTGACATGACTTGTCTGATAGTACAAACATTTTCAACCATATGACCTTGACTGTGACCTTTGACCTACATTTGAAAATAAACAAAAATCATTACCACAATGAAGACATAAGTGTTTTCACAAAATATGCCTACAATTAACACATGCTTTACACAGTACAGTTTTTATGTCCCATTTCAGAATTTTGTTGCAACCGGGGGCATAGTGTTTCATAAACATGTCTTGTTTCTTTATGGCTTGTTGTGATATGCAATGAAATTTCATTCACAGCTCTTTCATAAATCCAATGTGTTGACTAGCATATTTCTTCACAATAATTATTGTGTCCATGTATAATGTATACTATAAGAATATCAAGGGAGATAATTCTGACTAGTTACCTGTAGAGTCTTCTTTCATCCTTGAATACCAGCAGGCCATTCTGAAGGTGGCAGTTCTAAATTAGACCCAAATTTTTATTCTTACTGATTTCATTAATCGTTGGCTATTTTGATATGTTTAAACAAAAGATTAATTGTATCTTCCGTGTTTGAAAAAAAAATGCTAATAAATTCCTTTATCAAAATGATAAAAAATACCTGGTATGTTGTTAAATTGTATATTTCAAATAATGTCAAGTTAATTGAAAATACACAAAAGATCTCCCAACTTACAGGAGTTTCTTACTCAGGCCTATATTTATAACTTACTACCCCTTTTAACATAGAATAAAGATTGAACATTAGGGAAGATGTTATCGGTCTTTGTCAGAATATATATCTCGTTCAACTATCGATTACTAAATAGGTTAACGATACACGCTTCTTCTGTTTCATCAAAATAAACTATTACTTTCAAATAAAACAAAAATAGGGCTGATCACTGACATACCTGATGTGAACCAGCTGTCACCACCAGGATCACTTGTATCTTGTCATTACGTACATGAGGAATACAACACTCCTCTGCTTATCATTTTTTTCATGTCATCTTTCCTTTTTATTATTTAACTGATATCCTGTCTATGGATATGTGTGCAATATATTTTTCTGTCTCGATTTCTTGACATCCTTGTTAGAAAATAATCTGTAATATCCAGGAAATTGACTCACTGAACTCAGCAAACTATTCACTGAAGTATTGATTATTAGACATCTGAAACTCCTAGGATTAATATCTTATTATGCAAATTCTCATTACAGATGTTGTTGGTTACATGATTGTTTTTTTCATTCTTCTTTGACGTTTTTATTTTTCCTTCAAATATCTTTAACTGGTATATGAAATCTTATACAATTTATTTGTAGTGCTAAAACAAATGCTGTTTGTACGTGGCCCAGGTCTTGCACTGGAATGCAGGATTTCACCTGCTCTCTGTATGACAAATTTAACAAATTTAAGAGAGGAAAAAAGAAATAATCTGAAGTCCATCTAGACTTACGTAAGATCTGTAAATTGGACAACTCTTTGATCAGGGGGAGGTGGATGTGTTCAGTCTGGCTTTTTAGGTCACCTGAGACAAAGTCTGTGGTGACCTACTGCAATCTTGTGTCTGAACTTGTGACCATTTCAACTTCTTCTGGAAAAGCCCTGAACCAATTTCAATTAAATTGCATAGAAACTTTCCGTGGCCAATGTCGAACCTAAATGGTAAATTAAATGATTCCCCACCCCCACCTCCCAGGGACCTGAGGGGCAGATCCAAAAATAGGTCATATCGTTGAGATTTCAAAAAAAAATTTTATCCAAATATGACAGAATCAAATGCTCTGATTGGACAGAAAGATTTTATAATCTGCTTTACCAAAATTTGAAAATTCATGATCCCAGGACTAACATTAACCTGTGGGGAACGGGGAAGGGTTTACATTTGTTTATTTATTTTTTTTTTTTTTTTTGCATAATTTGTTTATTTTCTATAGGAAATACTTCATACTTGGTTAGAATAATTTGTTTAGAATGACAATTTGATAATATGCCCAAATATTGACCATGGCTAGCTCTCCGGGGCTGATGATGGGGCCGAAAAAGGTCAAGTTGACTGAATTTTTAAAAGTTATCTTTCAATACCAAAATATGGTAGAATAAAAAACTCTTGATGGATGTAAGGGTTTTGATGTAAATAGCATTTCTCATTTTCTCTTCTGTATACTACACATTCATTCCCATTGTTTCTGTTTGTGAGTTCACAAAGGTGATATAGGCCCCTGGCTCTCTTGTTAATAGTATGTCATGCATGTTTGATTTTGTTAATTATCACGTAATGATCACAGATGTAATGTGGATAGGCGAGCGTCATATTGAAAAAATAACTGATACAAACCTGACATCATTTCCTAATCAGTATTAATTAGCATACATCATTAATATATTTCCAGTTAGAAAATAAAGGTTCTTAAACTCCTCAGATTTTTAAATACTCCAAAAATCAAAACAAATTTTACTTCCTATCTATGAAATCCTTTAGTGAGATAAAAAAAAAATCACTGAAATTCGATAAATTTGGAAATTATAGACGAAAACCCCTAAACGTACCAGACAAGTATCCATTCCTTTGCTCAATGAACAAAAAGCTCCAAGAGAAATGTGTCTGGTAGATTCTCACAAAGCTGCTTCCCATAAAATAAACAAAACATAAATTCTGAAATTTTTTCTTTATCATATTGTAATCAGTTCCATATCTTGTATGATGTCAGAATCCAATTCTCCAGTGATACATTTTCACAACCAAGATATAGTGTGATACATAACCTCAGTACATCTGTAGGAGGTCAAAACCTGGAACAGGAAATTGGTAGCTGTTCTATCTCTACCCGGTCATAAAATTTGCATAAAATACAGATGTGATACTAGTATGAATTATGTAGAAATTGCCCAAGTGGGTTCTGGGCGTGATTGGATCCCCGGACAGATCAGCCAGGAGTCCAACACCAGATGTGAAATATTCTATACCACATAGAGAACTGAGAATTAAAGGTTAAATAGAAGATTGAAGAATTTTGTCTTAATTCAACTCAATATTAATT